ATGACCACTACAGAATAAATTATTTGAAAGAGTAAAAAGAGAAAATTCATGATAGCACACAGAAACTATGTGTGCAGTTTGACCCAGCAAATCCTAATCCTAGATGTCAAAGAAGAAACACAAATAGTAACCTACACACCAATGTTCACTGCAGCACTTTTCACCATAGCCAAAAGGTGGAAACAACAACATCCATCAACAGAGGAATGCATAAGCAAAATGTGAATATTATTCAGCCATGAAGAGAAATGAAGTCCTAATGCATTCCACAACACGGATGAACACTGAAAACCTAATGCTAAGTGAAATAAGTCAGTGGCAAAAGGACAAATATTGTATAATCTCTTATACAAAATAAGCAAATACACAGAAACCAAAGATTATTAATGACTATCAGTCATTAATGGGAAGGGAGAATACGAGAGCTTTTGTTTGGGGAGTATTAAACATGAAGCATGTAATCAATGTCATTTAACAGACCTGTAGAAATCATTGAATTAAGGAATGTTTTATTGTGTTTATTTTCACCACAATTAAAAAAAAAATTCAAGACAGGTAAAAGCATTCCTGTTAACCTATTTGTTAATTTTAGAAATGCAAGTGACTAACAAGAGATTTATGTGTTTACAGTAGGAGAGATACACTGTGTTTATCTTCATTTGAAACCACTGGACATAGGATCTTCTATGTCCTCTTACCTGTGTGAAATTATTATTTTGACGGTGATTCTGAGGGTAATCAAAAGATAAATTCCTTGAAGGTAAAAAGAATGCCTTAACTTTCTTTCCCAACATCTAGGAAAGGACATAATGCATAATGAACACTCGTAACAGGTTTGTAATATGAAAGCATTTGGATAGTGAATGAGTCATTGTTTTTAATTGTGCCTGCCAAGTATTCAGCTAGGAACTCAACATAATTAACCAAAGAATTAGTCTGTTGAAGCCAATCAACATTAATCTCATATAGTGCATAAAGAATTGGTATACAGGACAATTAGAAAAAGAACCAGTGAAGAATATCAGAAAATGTGACTGCCAGGGCTTACTGGCTCCTCTTCTAAAGCACCATCAAGCTCCCTTTCTTTTGATCCTGGCCTTAATCTACCACATTACTAAAGATCCCACCATTGGGTTTGAGGTTTGTGGGAACGGAGACATTGCAATTGACAGTAGTGGAAAAGAAAATTTTCTAGAGTCCTGAGATACGTCTATATTAAAACAAAGTAAAATGAATGTCCTTAAATTTGCCTGACTGTATTAGTATTAAAGGTACAAGTATCTTTCTGACTGCATTATTTTAATTGAATTTGAACAAGTATTAATTTTCTTTTCCACTTCCTATCTATTCCATTTCTTTTAGTCAAATCTCATTCAAAATAAATTCTCCCCACGTAATTTTCCTTTTCAACTTTCTATTATCCTCTGAATAACTGGCATTAATCAATAATACATTAGAGAGAGACTTTTCTCTTTTCAAATATTTGCATAAAAATCTTAAATTAGAAATCACTATATAATAAAAATCTACAGGCACAAATAAAAACTTGTTTAAAAAAATCGATCAGAAACCATTTCTCTTGAGAACAGGAACCAGACAAGGATGTCCACTATTACCACTTCTATTCAACACTGTACTGGAAGTTTTAGCCAGGGCCATAAGGCAAGAAAGGGAAATCAAAGGCATCCAGATTGGTAAGGAAGAAGTCAAACTATCCCTATTTGCTGATGATATGATCCTATACCTAGAAAACCCAAGACACTCAGTCAAAAATTGACTGGAACTAATT